CCCAACCTTACAGAAAGTACTAGAATGAAAAGCATAACCCAAGGAAGCCAACAAAACTCATAATAACACAGACATCTGACAACCCTCCACCAGCACAACTCAAAGAAAGGAAACACACAAACACTACCACCAAAACAAAAATAAGCAAAGTTAACAACCACTGGTCATTAATATCACTTAATATCAATGGACTCAATTCACCTATAAAAAAGGTACAGGTTAAGAGAATGGATTTGCAAACAGTGTCCAACATTCTGCTGTTTACAAGAAACACACCTTAACCTCAAAAACGGACATTACATCAGAGTAAAAGGCTGGGAAAAGGTTTTCCAATCAATCGGACTGAAGAAACAAGTGGATGTGGCTATACTAATATCTAACAAAATTGATTTCAAACTAAAATCAATCAGAAGAGATGGAGAGAGACACTTTATACTCATAAAAGGAGCAATTCATCAGGATGAAGTCTCAATCCTGAATATCTACACCCATAATATAAAAGCACCCAAATATGTAAAAGAAAAATTACTAGAACTCAATGAACGTATCAATCCCCACACACTAATAGTAGGAGATTTCAACACTCCTCTCTCACCAATGGACAGGTTAACCAGACAGAAACATAACAGGAAAATAAGAGAATAAGAGAACTAACAGATGTAATGAATCGAATGGACTTAACAGACATCTATAGAACATTCCACCCAAATAGAAAAGAATATACCTTCTTCTCAGGATCTCATGAAACATTCTCGAAAATTGATCACATACTCGGTAACAAAGCAAACTTCCACAGATACAAAAAGAGTGTAGTAACCACCTGTGTCTTATTGGATCACCATGGAATAAAGTTAGAATTCAACAACAGTTCTACCCCCAGAAAGCCTACAAACTTATGGAAACTGAACAGTCAACTATTGACCCACCCCTGGGTCAAGGAAGAAAGAAAGAAAGAAATTAAAGTCTTTCTTGAATTCAGTGAAAATAAAAACACAACTTACCCAAACCTATGAAGCACTATGAAAGCAGTGCTAAGAGGAAAGTTCATGACACTAAATGCCCTCATAAAGAAAACAGAGAAAGCTCACATTAGAGACTTAACAGCTTTGCTAAAAGCTCTAGAATAAAAGGAAGCATACTCACCTAGGAGGAGTAGAAGACTGGAAATAATCAAACTGAGGGCTGAAATCAACAAAATAGAAACACAGAAAAAAAATCTAAAAATTCAAAGAAACAAAGAACTGGTTCTTTGAGAAAATCAACAAGATTGACAAGCCCCTATCCAAACTAATCAAAAGGCAGAGAGAGAACATGCAAATTAACAAGATCAGAAATATAAAAGAGGGACATAACAACAAACACTGAGGAAATTCAGAGAATCATTAGGTCTTACTACAAAAGCCTGTATGCTACAAAGTTGGAAAATGTAAAAGAAATGGACATTTTTAGATAAGTACCATATACCAAAATTAAATAAAGACCAGGTGAACTATTTAAATAGACCTATATTCACGAGGAAATAGACACTGTTATAAAAAAACCTCCCAACCAAAAAAAGCCCAGGACCAGGTAGATGGTTTTATTGCAGAATTCTACCAAGAAGAGCTGATACCTATACTTCTTAATGTGTTTCACGTAATAGAAACAGAAGAGTCATTGCCAAACTCTTTTTATGAAGCTACAGTTACCCTGATACCAAAACCACACAAAGATTCAACCAAGAAAGAGAATTTCACACCAATCTCACTCATGAACATCGATGTAAAGATTCTCAATAAAATACAGGCAAACCAAATCCAAGAATACATTAAAAACACTTATCCATTATGATCAAGTAGGCTTCATCCCAGAGATGCAGGGCTGGTTCAACATATGAAAATCTGTTAATGTAATCCATCATATAAATAAACTGAAAGAAAAAAACATATGATCATTTCATTAGATGCAGAAAAAGCATTTGACAAATTCAATACCCCTATATGGCAAAGGTCTTGGAGAGATTAGGGATACAAGGATCATACCTAAATATAATAAAATCAATATACAGCAAGACAATAGCTAACATCAAATTAAATGGAGAGAAACTCAAAACCATTCCACTAAAACCAGGAACAAGACAAGGCTGCACACTATCTCCATATCTCTTCAACATAGTGTTTGAAGTTCTAGCAATAGAAATAAGACAACTTGAGGACATCAATGGGATTCGAATTTGAAAAAAAGAAGTCAAACTTTCATTATTTGCAGATGATATGATAGTGTGCATAAGTGACCCCCGAAACTTTACCAAAGAACTCCTACAGCTAATAAATACCATCAGTGATGTGGCAGGATACAAGATCAACTCAAAAAATTAGTAGACCTCCTATACACAAAGGATAAAAAGTGGAGAGGGAAATCAGAGAAACTCTACCTTTCATGACAGCCACAAATAACATAAAGTATCTTGTGGTAACACTAACCAAGGAAGTAAAAGATCTATTTGAGCAGAACTTTAAGGCTTTGAAAAAAGAAATTGAAGAGGACACCAGAAAATGAAGGATCTTTCATGCTCCTGGATTGGGAGGATCAACATAGTAAAAATGGCAATTCTACCAAAGGCAATCTATAAATTCAATGCAATCCCCAACAAAATTCTTCACGGACCTTGAGAGAACACTATCAACTTTACAGGGAAAAGCAAAAATCCCAGGATAGCCAAAACAATCCTGTACAATAAAGGTACTTCCGGAGGCATTACCATCTCTGACATCATACTCTATTACAGAGCCATAGTAATGAAAAGATGTTGGTATTAGCATAAAAACAGAGACGTTTACCAATGGAATTGAATAAAAGACTCAGATATTAATCCACACACCTATGAACATCTGATTTTTGACAAAGGAGCTAAAATTATAAAATGGAAGAAAGAAAGCATCTTCAACAAATGGTGCTGGCATAACTGGATGTCAAACTGTAGAAGAATGAAAATAGATCCATATCTATCACCATGTACAAAACTCAAGTCCAAATGGATTAAAGACCTCAATATAAATCTGACCACACTGAACCTGATAGAAGAGAAAGTGGGAAGTAGACTGCAACACATGGGCACAGGAGACCACTTCCTACATAGAACCCCAGTAGCACAGACAATAAGAGCAACAATAAATAAGTGGGACCTCCTGAAACTGAGAAGCTTCTGTAATGCAAAGGAAACAGTCAATAAGACAAAAAGGCAACCTACTGAATGGGAGAAGATCTTTACCAACCCCACATCAGACAAAGGTCTGATCTCCAAAATATATAAAGAACTCAAGAAACTAGACATTAAAATTCTAAATAACCCAATTAAAAAATGAGGTACAGAACTAAACAGAGAATTCTCAAAAGAAGAAGCTTAAGTGGATAAAAGATACTTAAGGTAATGTTTGATATCCTTAGCCATCAGGGAAATGCAAATCAAAACAACTTACCATCTTAACCAGTAAAAATGGCCAAGATTAAAAATACCAATTATAGCTTATGCTGGAGACGATGTGGAATAAGGGGAACATTTATCTATTGCTGGTAGGAATGCAAACCTCTTTGGAAATCAGTATGCTGGTTCCTCAGAAAATTGGAAATTAACCTACCTCAGGATCCAACAATACCATTCTTGAGCATATACCCAAAAAGATAATCAATCATACTACAAATGCATTTGTTCAACTATGCTCATAGTAACATTATTTGTAATAGCCAGTACCTAGAAACAACCTAGATGTCCCTTAACTGAAGAACGGATAAAGAAAATGTGACACATTTACACATTAGAGTACTAATCAGCAGTAAAACACAATGACATCTTGAATTTTGCATGCAAATGGATGGAATTAGAAAACACTATTCTGATCCTGAGTGAAGTAACCCAGATCCAAAAAGATTAATATGGTATATACTCACTTATAAGTTGTTACTAGCTATAAACAAAAGATATTGAGCCTGTAGTTCATGATCCTAGAGAAGCTAAGTAATAAGGTGAACCCTAAATATATATAAAACCACCTGGAAAGTAAAAACATACAAGATTGCCTGATAAAATTGGGAGCATGTGTGTGGCGGGGAGAAGGAAGAATAGAAGAGGAAGAACAGGAAAAAGGGGGAGGAGTGAGGAGAACTTGAGGGAATGGGATAGTCACGATGGAGAAAGGACAGAGGTGAGTGCAAGGAAAGAGATACCTTGATTGAGGGAACCATTATGGGATTAGCAAGAAACCTGGCTCTAGAGAAATTTCCAGGAATCCACAAGGATGACCCCAGCTAATACCCTAAGCAACAGAGGAGAGGAGGCCCAATCTTGACTTGCCTTGTAATCAGATTGATGAATATCTTAAATATCACCATGGAGCCTTTGTCTTGCAACTGATGGATGGAGAGAAACCTGTGTCGAAGCACTGGACTGAGTTCTCAAGGTCCAGTTGAAGAGTGGGAGGAGTGAAAATATGAGTGGGGAGGTCAAGACCATGATGAGGACACCCACTGAAACAGTCTACCTGAGCTAATGGGAGCTCACCAACTCCAGTCAGACTGGGAAGAAACAAGCATAGGACCAAGCTAGTCTCTCTTGATGCAGTTGACAGCTGCATGGCTAGGGCAGACTGATGGGCCATGGGCAGTGGCACTGGAATTTGTCCCTACTGCATGTACTGGCTTTTGGGGAGCCTATTTTCTTTGAATGGATGCCTTGCTCAGCCTAGATGTGGTGGGGGATGTCTTGGGCCTTCCCTGGGGCAGTGTGCCTTGCCCCCTCTGAGGATTGGAGGGGGGTGGGGTGAGAGGGTATGTGGAGGAAATGGGAGGAGGGAAATGAATGGGAACTTGGATTGGTATGTGTAATGAGGGAGGATTGTTTGTTTTCTTTTTAAAGAAAAAAATTAAAGAAAAAAAAACAAGAAGTTCCCACTAGAGAGAAAGTCTTTGTGATGCACAGGAAGAGAACTTTGGTCACAGAGCACACTACATTCAACATGAAATAATCCATACTGACAAGAAACTTTATGAATGCAATGAACTTGGAGCAATTTGTTTGAATGAAAATTGACCCATTGGCATGTAGGAAGTGGTACGATCTTGTTGGAATGGGTGTGACCTTGTTAGAGGAAGTGTATCACAAAGGGTGGACTTCGAGGTTTCAGAAATTCAAGACAAGTCCAGTATACGCTCTCTCTTCCTGCAGTCTGCAAAATCCAAATGTAAAATTGTCAGCTATTTCTTCAGCATCATATATGCCTGCATGCACTATGCTTTCCACCATGAATATAATGGACTAAACCTCTGCACCTGTAAACAAGCTCCAAAAAAATGCTTCCTTTAGAAGAGCTGTGATGGTCATGGCATCTATTCACAGAAATAAAGCCCTAAGACTCTAGGGAGACATTTAGTCAAATTCATGCCTCACTCAGCATAGGAGAATTCACAATAAAGGAAGTCATGTATGTATTGACTGTCATAAAGACTTTAGTCACAGTTCAGTGTCAAAGAATTCATATCAGAGACATCTCTCTAAATATAACAAATATTGAGAAGTTTTTGTAGAGTTAAATTATTATTTGGCTCTTGCAAATCCACACCAGAATGTACTAAATGTGATTCATTCCCACCTAGGATTTTTTTCATACTTGTGGTAGTTTGAATGTAATTGGCCCCATAAGCTCATAGGGAGCGGCACTATTAGGAGGTGTGGCCTTATTAGATTAGGTATGGCCTTGTTAGAGGAAGTGTGTCACTGTGGAAATAGGCTTTGAGATTTCATATGCTCAAGTCATGCCCAACATCTCAGTTTACTTCCTGTTGCCCACAGGATCCAGACATAGTTCCTTCTCCACTCTCAGTTCCTTTTCCAGCACCATGTCTGTCGTCATGCTACCATGTCCTCTCATGATGATAATGGATTAAACCTCTGAAATTGTAAGTCACTCAATAAAATGTTTTCCTTTATAAAAAAATTAGCAGCCATTCAACTGCATGTTGCATGAAGGGAAGTGAGACAGAGTAAAATGAGGAGTCCTAATGATTGTGTGAAAATTCCTTTGCAAATGTTTCTGCAGTGAGTACATGGCAAGTGTCATAGCGGTGGCATGACACATGAGGCATTTGGAAGCTCATTTCATTCAGTATTTAGTGTCTGAGTAGAACACTAAGTATATGGAACTGCCAGCTAGACTAGTCAAAACATCAGTGTTGGGGGGATAGGAAGATGGTTCAGTAGGTAAGGCCCTTGCTATGCAAGCATGAAGACCAGAACTCACATCCCAGATGCCCAGTGGGACATTTGTTCTAAGTCCTCTTCAGACTAAACTGACAAAGACCCAAGACAAGACTCCAGCCTCATGCTTACCTCTTTGGGGTCAACAATTCTTCACAAGAATCCCAACAACTAAAGGTAATATGATGGCAATGACTGATGCCGTGACAATAAATGCTTTCTCATGCTGAAACTGGGTGGTATTTATGGCAGACAGAAGTTGGGTGATATCTGGGACCCTTGATGTTGATCCTTTAAAAAACATCAGAAAATTATGGATAAGGCTAAAAACACAACATCATCAGCACATTCTCTCTCCAGGCATTCTGAAGGACTCATGTGTAGCATCTATTTATAAGGTCCTGAGGAGAGAGTAGTAGAGCTGTGTGGAGTTTATTTCATTAACAAAGAAAACAAATGTCAACTAAATCATCAAACAATGCGACATAGTTGCTGTGGTTAGAACTTTCTGGATGTTAGGGCAATTGCTGGCATTTAATTGTGGCAGAGAAAGATAGAAAATCCTCTCAAAGGGATGTGGAGCTGATGGAAGGTCAGTTATCTGTGAGGCAGAAAAGTGTGGAGGTTTACAGTGATGTATGCAGACTCGGGGCCATTAGTAGGACATGGAGTGCCTGGACCATTGGTTAATAGGGAATAAGAAACATTGGGAGGTAAGATAAAAAAGAGGAATCATTGTGGTCATCATTGGATTTCAGACAGGAAGACTGTCAGGAAATTACCCACCCAGTCTATCAAATGTGATAGAGATTCCCCCTAATACTCTAAGTAATACCTACTTGGCTTTTCCTTCTGGTGCTTTAAGAGTTCCTTGAGCCAGTGCCTGCAGTCTGCTGTGGATATTGTCCTGAGATCTTTTGTGAATTGTGCATCATCCTTCCATTTACTCATGACACCACCAGCTTCAGGATCAATCAGTGTCCAGTTCATATTCATTGTGTTGAAGATGAAGTACTTTCCACGGATGTTAAATCGCCAGGAGGCACCAACAATTTGTTCTTGTTTATACTTACAGAGCATGATGACTTGTAAAGTGGGGGGACCTACAAACCACATACAAAGCCATCATGCTTCATTTTCATAGATCCATCACTCTCTAAATGTCAAGACTTTTCCCATTGGCTTATGAGCCAGTATCATTTCCACATGACTTACTCTTGTACCACATGCTTCCAAGGTTGGACCAATGCTCAGCTCTCTCACATAAATGCAACCACCATCTCATTTCCACATGTGCCCTGCCCTCCTCTCTCTTGCCACCTGTCTCTGTCTTTGTACTTGATCCCACACTTACCACTGGTCTCAGTCATCTCTTGTATGGAGTTAGCCAACATCTTCCTGAGCTCTTGCCCCAAGTAGTTCAACCTTTGGGTCATATCTGTCCACACTTGAGTCCCATTTACTGCATTTCCCCGGTTACCCAAAGGTGTGAATTTTCTGTTATTATACTTAAGGAAAAGTACTCCATCCAGTGAGCACTGTTCTTCACACCAGGGCTGTCCAGCTGTGGTACGAGCCTTGACAATGATGTCACAATGAAGAGAGTGTGTATCTGTGAGAGAAACATGTAGGTGAGGTACAAAGTGGGAGCAGAAAGTCACAGGAATCATGGTTCTGTGATACCAGATGACACCAGATGAATCCCTATGAAGGACAAGAGGGCAGAAGGAGAAACCTCTACTCAAGATATCCACCAGCTTCTGGAACCTCATTTCTGTGCCAGCTTTCACTGTCTTAGAATGATAGGACCCTCAGGTACACACCATGTCAATGGGAAGATTTATCTCACAAGTACTTTTGTGACTTTAATGAAGTGTTGAGGAATAAAATATGTCAGGAAGTGTCTCTTCCTGTGTTGAACAGATATTTCTTACTTGCCCAGTCCCACAGTCATTTAGTTCCAATGAAACACAGAGAGATATACATTAATTATAAACTGGTTGACCTAGTAGCTCAGGCTTCTTATTAATTCTTATATCCTATCCTACATTAACCCATAATTCTTGCCTGTGTTAACCATGTGGCTTGGAACCTTTTATCAGTGAGGCATTTTCATCTTGCTTCCTCTCTGTCTGGCTTCCTCTATAACAACTACAGACTGAACAGGAACTATAGGCATAGTGACCAGGCAGGAATTATAGGTGGGCAATGAGACATGAGAATTCTAGGAAAAGGAAAGGTTCAGTCTGCAGTCAACACAGAAGAAACCAGATACAGAGGAAGCAAGATGAGAAGGCCTTGCTGATAAAAGGTACCAAGCCACGTGACTAACATAGATAAGAATAATGGGCTAATTTAAGATGTAAGAATTAATAAAAAGCCTGAACTAATAGGTCAACCAGTTTATAATTAATGTAGACCTCTGTGTGTTTCTTTGTGACTGAACTTCTGTGGGACCGGGCAAGACAGAAACTTTCATTCAACAAATTAGGCCAACATGAAAAACTGAATCCACTTAAAACCTAGAGATCCTGGGGTAATTCTAGACACAAAAGAACAGAATTAAGCATGAATTCTTGATAGCAGCATATTCTCAGGTGGGCTCTGTTTGCTAGAGGCACATGAGTCTTATTTAAGAGAAGCTTCCTGACTCGACTTTAGCTGTAAAAACCTTGCAGCTCTTTCAAAAGGACCTGCCAGCAAACACTTAAATGGTGTTCATGAATAGCCAACAGCATGTTTTCTTGGTAGAGACAGAGACCTTGAAACTCCATAGAGTTGTGGCAATATATAGGGCTCCCACTAGTACCTCTGCCATGAGGCTAGACTCTCAGAAAGCTAAGGAATGGGGTGGATTCAGCCATCAAAGCCATGGCTTTAATCCTAGCCACAACACTTACCAAATTAAAGACTCATGAGGTCAGAAAAAGAAATATACAGTAATGATAGAGTCAGATGGAATAAAAAAGTTTAAACCTTTTACAGTGTCTTTAAAAATATATGGAGGCTTGGGAGAGAAAATAAAAAAGATAAAGACCTTAAAGTAAAAAAGAAAGAGAGTAGTTGGGTGTGGTGGCACACATCTTTAATGCCAACACTTAGAAGGCTGAGGCAGGCAGATCTCTGTGAGTTAAAAGACAACCTGATCTACAGAGTGAGTGCCAGGACAACCAAAGATACACAGAGAAACCTAGTCTCAAAAAACAAAAATTAAAAATAAAAATAAAAGAAATAGAACTTAAAATAAAGCCACATCCCTTTTGTTTCCTGTGTCCTTGGAATACCAGCTGTCCCTATTTCAGTGCTGAGGAGTTCTATCCAGAAGTGAGTGGGTGCTAGCCAGGGCAGAGTGTCCCAGAAGAGAGCACAGCCCCCCCCTCAGTTTCTGCACAGGATCTTCGGTGTTCCGTGGAATGCTTCCCTGTCCCCACTGCCGCCCATTTGTCTCCTGTGTCCTTGAAATACCAGCTGTCCCTATTTCAGTGCTGAGGAGATCTATCCAGAGGTGAGTGTGTGCTAGCCGGGGCGGACTGTCCTGGAAGAAAGCACAGCCCCCCCACTCAGTTTATTTGGCAGGATCTTCGGTGTTCCACGGGACGCTTCCCTGTCCCCACTGCCACCCTTTTGTTTCCTGTGTCCTTGGAATACCATCTGTCCCTATTTCAGTGCTGAAGAGTTCTATTCAGAGAGTGCTGAGGAGTCCCATCCAGAGAGGAAGAGATGGGCAGGTGCCAATGCAAGAATTCCTCCAACAACCTGAAAGGCAACATGACATCACCAGAATCCAGGGATCATGAAACTAGAAGAATTGAACACCCTACTCCAAAAGAATTAGAAGAAATCAACCCTAGCGGAACTTTATGAAAGTAATAGAGGAACTTAAACAGGAGGTGAAAATCTGCCGAAAAGAAATGGAAGAGAAGTATAGCAAAAAGATTGAAGAAATGAGTAAAGAAATGGAGGAGACATATAAAAAAGTTTGAAGAAATGAGTAAATCTGTAAATGAAACCCTGGGAAACCAAGAAAAAAACAATCAAACAAGTAATGGAAATAGTTCAAGATTTGAAAATTGAAATGGAGGCAATGAAGAAAACACAAACCGAGTGCCGGCTGGCTATGGAAAATCTAGGTAAACGAACAGAGACTTCAGAAACAAGCATAACCAATAGAATATAAGAGATAGAAGAACAAATCTCAGATTCTGAAGACACCATAGAGAAAATAAACGCCCTGACAAAAGAAAACAGCAAATCCAACAAATTCTCATCATAAAACATTCAGAAAATGTGGGACACAATAAAAAAAACCAAATCTAAGAATAATAGGGGTAGAAGAAGGAGAAGAATTACAGATCAAAGGCCCAGAAAATATATTCAACAAAATTATAGAAGAAAACTTCACCAACCTAAAGAACAATATCCCTATGAAGGTCCAAGAAGCATACAGAACACAGAATAGACTGGATCAAAAAAAATCCCCTCGCCATATAATAATAAAAACACAAAACATTCAGATTAAAGAAAAAATATTAAGAGCTGCAAAGGAAAAAGTCAAGTAACTTATAAAAGTAAACCTATCAGACTTACACTGGACTTCTCTATGGAAACCATGAAAGCCAGAAGGTCATGGATAGAGTTACAGCAGAAACTAAGAGACCATGGATGAAAGCCCAGACTACTCATACCCAGCCAAGCTATCGTTCACTATCAATGGAGAAAACAAAATATTCCAGGATAGAAACAAATTTAAACAATACGTAGTCACAAATCCAGCCTTACAGAAAGTATTAGAAGGAAAATCACAACCCAAGGAATCCAACATTGCCAATACTGCCTACAATAACTCAGACATCTAGCGACCCTTCACAAGCAAAACTCAAAGAAGGGAAAAAAACACACTCTACTACCCAAAAAAAGAAAGAAAAGAAAATAACCAGAGTCAACAAACACTGGCCATTATTATCACTTAATATCAATGGACTTAATTCACCTATAAAAAGGCACAGACTTAGAGATTGGATACAAAAACAGGATCCACCATTCTGCTGTTCACAAGAAACACACCTCAACCACAAAGACAGACACCTACTCAGAGTAAAGGGTTGGGAAAAGGTTTTCTAAGCAAACGGTCCTAAGAATCAAGCAGGTGTGGCCATTCTAATATCTAACAAAATTGACTTCAAACTAAAATCAGTCAGAAGAGATGGAGATGGACATTTCATACTCATAACAGGAACAATTCATCAGGAGGAAGTCTCAATCCTGAATATCTATTCCCCTAATATAAAGGCACCCACTTATGTAAAAGAAATACTTCAAGAACTCAAGGCAGTCATCAAACCACACACACTAATAGTAGGAGACTTCAACACACCTCTCTCACCAATGGACAGGTCAATCAGACAGAAACCTAACAAAGAAATAAGAGAAATATTGGAGGTATTGAATCAAATGGACTTAACAGACATCTATAGAACATTCCACCCAAATAGGAAAGAATATACCTTCTTCTCTGCAGCTCATGGAGCCTTCTCGAAACTTGACCACATACTCGGTAACAAAGCAAACTTCCACAGATGCAAAAAAATATTAGTAACTACCTGTGACTTGTCAGATCACCATGGATTAAAGTTAGAATTCAACAACAATGCTACCCCCAGGAAGTCAACAAACTCATGGAAGCTGAACAGTCAACTACTGAATCACCCCTGGGTCAAGGAAGAAATAAAGAGAGAAATTAAAGTCTCCCTTGAATTTAATGAAAATGAAGAAACAACATACTCAAACCTCTGGGACACTATGAAAGCAGTGCTAAGAGGAAAGTTCATAGCATGAAGTGCCCAATTAAAGAAAACGGAGAAAGCACACATTGAAGACTTAACAGCTATCCGCCAGGAGGTGGGAAATAGACAAGGGTCCCAGATAACCTCAGGTGCATGGCGGGGGAAGGGTTGTTGGAAGGGGAGACGGTTAGAGAGAAGGGAGTAGGGGAGGATTGGGGAAAGCTTGGTGGACTGGGATGGGGGGGAGTGAGGAAGGATGAATATGGGATCAGGGAAAAATATACTTCAACTAAAGGAGTCATATTAGGGTTTACAGTAGACTTGATTATATATGGGATCCCAGGTCCAAGGAGAGATCCCCAGATTGTTCTCTGGACAGAGGAGAGGGTGCCTGAACCGGCCTTGGCCCATAACCATACTGATGAATATTTTGCTTATCACCATAGATCCTTCATCTGGCGATGGATGGCGATACAGATGGAGACCCACATTGGAGCACCAGACTGAGCCCCCCAAGGACCAAATGAGGAGTAGAAGGATGAAGAAAATGAAAAAGGAAATAAGGACTGCGAGGGATGCTATCACCCACTGATACAAGGGGACGGATATAATGAGAGCTTACCAAGGCCATTTGGACTGGGACTGAACGAGGACGTGATCCAACCAGATTCTCTGAATGTGGCCGGATTCTCTGAATGTGACTGGCCCGGAGTCTTTCTGAAAAGCCATTGACAATGACACTGGGACTTGTTTCCTCTGTATATACTGGATTTTGGGGATCCAGTCTGTTTGGATACTCACCTTCCTGGACCTGGAGGGAGGGGGGAGG